CCTGCCCCCCCACCCACCCCCAGCCCAGGTACAGATGGGCAACCTGCGGCTGGCCCTGGGCCCCGTGCAGTATGAGGCTGAGCCTGCACCGCCTGCCTTCCCTGTGGAGGCCCAGATCGGCTTGGGCATAGGCGCTGCTGTGCTGACGGCCGCTGTGCTACTCCTGACTCTCATGTACAGGTGAGGACTCCCCACCCCCCACCCCGCGCCTGTATGAACTTCCCTCTTCACTTTGTTTTTTGTTTTTTTCAAAAAAAATATATTTGTATTGATTTCAGAGAGGAAAGGAGAGGGAGAGAGAGCTAGAAACACCAATGATGAGAGAGAATCATCGATCGGCTGCCTCCTGCACGCCCACACTGGGGATCGAGCCCGCAACCCGGGCATGTGCCCTGATCAGGAATTGTACTGCAACCTCCTGGTTCATAGGTCAATGCTCAAACACTGAGCCACACTGGCTGGGCTCCTTCTTCACTTTGGGAAAGGGCGCCCCATGGCAGGCCTCCCAGCAGGCAGCTCTCCTGGCCTGGTGGCCTCCGTGCAGGCAGGCCTGGGTCTGTGGCTAACACCTGGTCCCTGGGCTGCAGGCACAAGAGCAAGCAGGCCCTGCGTGACTATCAGAAGGTTCTGGTGCAGCTGGAGAACCTGGAGATTGGTGTGGGCGACCAGTGCCGCAAGGAATTCACAGGTGAGGAGGGGGCGGTGGGGAGGGGGCAGAGGGCCCACTCGGGCCTGAGCCCACATCTTGGTGGCTCCCGGTCTGCAGACCTGATGACCGAGATGACTGACCTCAGCAGCGACCTGGAGACCAGCGGGATCCCCTTCCTGGACTACCGCACCTACACCGAGCGCGTCTTCTTCCCGGGGCACGGCGGCTGCCCGCTGCAGCCCGTGTTCGAAGGGCCTGGGGAAGAGGGCCACCGTGTCCCCGTGCGCCAGGGCCTCACGCAGCTCTCCAATCTGCTCAACAGCAAGCTTTTTCTTCTCACAGTGAGGGCCACGTGGACGGGCAGGGGGCCTCATGGGGGGTGGGGGGCAAGGAAGTGGGAGGACTGGGCACAGGCTGGGCTGGGGGGCAGGTGCAGGCACAACGGTGGGGGTGGGAGGACGCACGGGGTGAGGGGTTTCGCAGAGTGAACAGCAGCTTCCCTGCCACCACCCAGCTCATCCACACGCTGGAGGAGCAGCCCAGCTTCTCCCAGCGGGACCGCTGCCACGTGGCTTCGCTGCTGTCCCTGGCGCTGCACGGCAAGCTGGAGTACCTGACTGACATCATGAAGACGCTGCTTGGTGACTTAGCCGCCCATTACGTGCACAAGAACCCCAAGCTCATGCTTCGAAGGTTGGCTTTGGCCTGACCTTGGTCCTGGCAGCAGGGATGGTGGCTCCCCATCCCCTTTCCCCTTTGCTCCGTCCTGGGGTGGGCGGAGCCAGGAACACCCAGGAGGTGGGTGGAGCTGGAGCTGGGCTAGGACCAAAGCCACTGGTAGGGAAGGAGACCCACACAGAGGGTGACAGGTGGAAAGCTTTGCGTTGCCTCCGGTGCCGCCTGAGCCCAGGGACATGGCCCTGCAGCACCGTCTCTAACCCGAGGCCTGCTCCCCGCAGGACGGAGACCATGGTGGAGAAGCTGCTCACTAACTGGCTGTCCATCTGTCTCTACACCTTCCTGAGGGTGAGGGGCGCCCTGGACCGCACCTTCTCCCCTTGCTCCATTGAGGGACTGTCGCCTCACTAACCTGCACCCAAATTCCCTCAGGGCCCAATGGGGGGATGGAACGGGAAGGGCTTTGAACTTTCCCCCACCCCTGCACCCCCCGGGGCTGGATGTGACGCAGAGGCCAGCTGTCATGATCCGCCCTCACTCTGTGCAGCTGGCTGCCCCTCCCCACCCCCAAGCCCTCTGCACTTCCCACAACCCACTGATGCTGGCCCGTCCTAACGGTTGCAGGAGGTGGCTGGTGAGCCGCTGTATATGCTCCTGCGGGCCATCCAGTACCAGGTGGATAAGGGTCCTGTGGACGCCGTGACAGGCAAGGCTAAAAGGACCCTGAATGACAGTCGCCTGCTTCGGGAGGACATGGACTTCCGGCCCCTAACATTGATGGTGCTGGTGGGCCCTGGGGCCGGCGGAGCCTCAGGGAGCAACTCAGCACAGCACGTGCCGGCCCGGGTGCTCGACACAGACACCATCACGCAGGTCAAGGAGAAGGTGTTGGAGCAAGTCTACAAGGGTACCCCGTTCTCCCAGAGGCCCTCCGTGCACACCCTAGACCTCGGTGAGAGAGCCCGACTGCCCTCCCCTCCTGGGACACCCGTAGAGGCTCAGCTCTGCCTTGCCCTGAATGGCAGACTTGGGGGACGGGCTGCAGGCTAATTGGCTTCCCTGGATCCCCCCAGAGTGGCGCTCGGGCCTGGCTGGTCACCTAACCCTGTCGGATGAGGACCTGACCTCAGTGACCCAGAATCACTGGAAGAGACTCAACACCCTCCAGCACTACAAGGTCCCAGATGGGGCCACAGTGAGGCTCATCCCCCAGCTGCACAATGGAGGCGCCGTCTCCCAGAGCCTGGCCCAGAGTTGCTCCTCTGGGGAGAGTGAGTCCTGAAACCCAGACGTGCACATCTGTCCCCGGGAGCTTGAGGCGGCCAGGCAGGAGTCCCGGCCATGCTGTCACCTGGGGCTCCCCACCCCTTGCCAGTGGGCCAGCCAAAGCTCCAGGCGGAGCAAAGGGCCTGGGGCAGATGAGGGCAGCGGTGTGTCCCGGTCAGGGAGCTCCAGGGCTATGGGGTGTCAGGCTGAACAAGCCCCTGGGCGGCCACCCTCCTTTCCACATCATTACCCACTGCTTCCATGGGCTTCTCCCAGCCTCTACCACCTTGCCAAGCGGGGTGGGGTGGGCAGCAGGGCATAGGACTGAGGCCGGCACATGCGTCCCCAGACACCCCCATGCTGGAGGACGGCGACGAAGGTGGGGTCCGCCTCTGGCACCTGGTGAAAGGCACCGAAGAGCCAGACGGGAACAAGGTTCGGCGCAGCAGCCTGCGGGAGCGGGAGCGGGAGCGGGCACGGGCCAAAGCCATCCCGGAAATCTACCTCACCCGCCTGCTCTCCATGAAGGTCAGTGCAGCTGGGAGCTGGGCTCCGGGGGAGCCAAGTGACAGGAAGGCTCACCCAGGGGCCCCTGACTGAGGTGGGGAACACTCATGCTCCTGAGAGGCTGAGGGCCGGCCCCACGCCCACTGATGGGGAGCCTGCTCCCCTGCCTTCCAGGGCACACTGCAGAAGTTCGTGGATGACACCTTCCAAGCCATCCTGAGCGTGAACCGGCCCGTGCCCATCGCTGTCAAGTATCTGTTCGACTTCCTGGATGAGCTGGCAGAGAAGCATGGCATTGAGGACCCAGAGACCTTGCACATCTGGAAGACTAACAGGTACCTGGCCTGCTGCACCCCCATTCCATGCAGATGGGACATGGCATCCCAGAGGGACAAGGACATCGCCATGATGAGGGCAGTGGGACCTGAACAGGAAGCCAGGCATGGAGGCATGCGGCTCAATTTCTGGCCACCCCAGCATGGATTCACGGGACCGCTCCCCAGGGAGCCCAGGGCCGGGCCCAGGCTGGTGAGGTGTGCTGGGCTAGCCACGCCTCACACCCACGGCCGGCCTGTGTCTCCAGCCTGCTGCTACGATTCTGGGTGAACACGCTGAAGAACCCACAGCTCATCTTTGACGTACGGGTGTCAGACAACGTGGATGCCATTCTTGCCGTCATCGCCCAGACCTTCATCGACTCCTGTACAGTCTCAGAGCACAAAGTGGGCCGGGTGAGAGCAGAGCCAGCCCATGGGTGGGTGCAGAGCCCTGGGTGGGGCTGGGAGGGATGGCGCATAGTGGGGGACCAGGGGGAGGGGCATTGGTGGCATGGGCAGGGTGACAGGGTGAACAAACTGCTCTACGCCCGGGAGATCCCTCGCTACAAGCAGATGGTGGAGAGGTAGGTATCAGGGTGCACGGCTGGGGGTGGAGGCTGCCTGTCCCTAACTGTGTCTCCTCTTCCAGATACTACTCTGACATTCGCCAGAGCTCTCCGGCAAGCTACCAGGAGATGAATTCAGCTCTGGCCGAGCTCTCGGGGGTGAGGCATGGCCCAGGGACGCACCTCTCCACGGTTGGGGGACAGGGTTTAGGGGGAGGCTTGGGGCTGGAGGCCCAGGCTGGGGACTCACACCCTCCCCAATGTGCTGCCCCCAGAACTACACCTCTGCTCCCCACTGTCTGGAAGCCCTGCAGGAACTCTATAACCACATCCACAGGTATTATGACCAGGTGAGGTCAGGGTGCTCTAGGGGGGAGGGGCACACCCCTGGGGGTGGAGGAGGTGTCCAGGCCCACCCCTGCAGGCAGATGGGAGGAAGGGCCCAGGCTGGGAAGGGGCTTGGATTCTGTTTATTTAGTTAGTTAGTTTTAATATATTTTTATTGATTTCAGAGAGAGAGAGAAAAACATCAATGATGAGAGAGAATCATTGATCAGCTGCTTCCTACACACTCCACACTGGGGATTGAGCCCGCAACCCGAGCATGTGCCCTGACCAGGAATCGAACCGTGACCTCCTGGTTCATAGGTTGATGCTCAACCACTGAGCCATGCTGGCTGGGCTGGTTTCTGTTTAGTTTCCCCAGGGAGGCCCAGGGCAGCCCTGCTGAGATATAAGCAGGGCTGGATAGCACTGGGTCAGTGTGCAGAGGGCTGGGGGCTCATGCGGGGTGCCCTCATCTGCCCTGGCAGATCATCAATGCCCTGGAGGGGGACCCTGTGGGCCAGAAGATGCAGCTGGCCTGCCGCCTGCAGCAGATCGCTGCCCTGGTGGAGAACAAGGTGACTGACCTGTGAGCTCAGGCCACAGTGGATGCCTGAGGCCCATCAGCTTGGAGGGAAGCCAGCAGGACCCACCACCACAGTGCCTTATGACTCCTAGACCAAGCAGAAGAGGGGCTGCAGAGAGGGGCGGGGGGTGTCCCTGCAACCTCTCCTCCCCGACCCTTCCTCCCTGCCCCAGGCTTTTTTCCTAATTTATAGCAATCCTTCCCCCTCCTCCTCATTATATTTATTTGCTTGCTGGAAAGTTGCATCTGGAAATAAAGTCTTTTTAGGAAAAGCCCAGTCCCCAGCCCCTTCCTTCCTCTGGAGTCTACATAGCCCTCTCCTCGGTGCCATGGCTGTGACTTCTGTTGCCTGAGGAAAAGAGGGGTCATGGGGCATCCCCAGGCGTTGCTCTCCTCCCTCCCTTCGCCTCTACCGCTTCCTGCAGGAAAAGTGCCCCTGGCCCCTACCCCCCATCTATGCCCACCCCACCCTATTGCTCTTTCCTGGCACAGGGACACAGGATACAGGATCAAGTGTCTCCCATCCTTG